AAAAAACCCCCGCCAGCGCCCTTTGCCCCGAGACGCGCCCCGTCGGCCCTCACCAGCCTCACATGTGCCGCCCATCCCTTGTTTACCAGCCACCCCGCGGTAACATCAACAACCCGGGAATATTTCGATTTTTACAGTGTTTTTGGGTGCTGTTTTCTGGAAAAAAAATACCAGGGCCCCAAGAAAGTTTCAGTCCCAACCCCTGGGTAAAAAGGGGAGAATTAGTATGGAAATTAAGAAAGATTTTAAAGGGTTTGGGGGCTAACCCTGAGAACCTTCCCATTGGGGAATCCATTGGCCTACTTTCAAAATTAAGGAAATGTGTGCACAGGGGGTTGAACGCAAACCTTTAGGATAAAAATCACCCTGACACAGCTGTTGAAGCCGTGCGGTGACTTTTTTCAATAAACAATGTTGGGGCCCTTTTAGACAAATCGAAAAGGAACGGGGGGTACAGAGCTCTAGGGGAAAATTTGTTGTCGACAAGGTCCAGTGACTCTCAAGCTGGCCCTTGGCAAAAAGAAGGGAAGTAACCCCGGGAAAAAGGATTCCCTACCTCAAGTCCTAATGGAAGGGGATTCCCCTTCTAAACACTAACACTCTCTCTCCCCTCCCCCACCATCAATCATCCCCCAGTCTTAAATAAAATAAGTGTCATGAAATTTGGGCATCCCTTTTTTCAGTTGTGTGTACTAAAATTAACTTTTTTTCTGTGAAAAAAAAAATTTTTTTTCATACTTTTGGGTGCTTGCACTTTAAATTTTATTTCCATATTTCTTATGGGAAAATTAATTCGCATAGCGAACTTTCCCGCATAACCCCACCCCCTTTTTGCACGATTAATTCGCTATGCGGGGTCCACTGTTTTTTAAAAATAATAAAAAAAATATATAATATATAATATATTATATAATAATATATTATTATTTTAAATATATATATTATATATATTTAAAATATAATATAAAAATATATAAAATATATAATATATATAAAATAAATAATATAATATTTTAAATAAAATATATAAATATAATACGTGGACCCCCGGTTAACGAACTTTTTTCTTTCCAGTATATGTTAGTGCGTACTGACCGAATTTTTTCCCCTAAGGAATAGTGAATGATTATCCCATTCAGACCCCCAAACATAACTCAAACGCACTTACATAAAAACCTTTCTAATTGGTCCATTTGGAGGGATCGTTAAGCGGGGGTCCACTGTAAAAATATATATAAAAAAATATATATATAATTATATTATATATATAATAAAATATATATTAAAAATGTAGTAATCCTTTTTTAACACACCGGCCAAACCCCCAAGGGGGGGTGGCCCAAAAGGAAAAAAAAAGTTTTTGCTTTTACATTAGTAAATATCGGAGAAGAGGGTTTCTAGCCCCTTGCTCCCGGGATTTTTGTCGCCTCTTAAACACGCATGGGTTACGGAGGAAGAATTCTTTTCCATTCCCCATGGGGAATGAAAATAAACAAAAATAAGAACTAAAAGAAAAAAAAGAAAACTCAAGGGTGGTATATATATCTTTTACAGCAGTGTATGACTAATGAAGTAGGAGTACAAGACAACCTGAAAACTTCATTTCAGAGCAGAAAAAAGGACACCAGCAACCTACCATCATGTAAAAAAAATTACAGGCTTTCTTTTACACTCCTGGAGGACGGTAGTAGCTCCCTGGGCGGTACCAGGGATTGCCAATGTGTAAATATTTTCCTTTTAATAAAGGGAAGGGGGACAAAATGTAAAAATTATAGGAGGAAGAAGTTTACTGAGTATACCAAGTACAGTGTATGGCGGGGGTTATTACTGAAAGAATTAAGGTAAAACAGAGGCAGGTTTCAGATAACGGAGGCTTTAAATGATTACCGGGATTTACCGGAAGATTTCCCGGGGGTAAACGCCCCCGCACCGGGTAGGGGATGTTTAAAATTGAACCCTATTGGAACATATTTAGATAAAGGAGGGAATTTTTCATTGCAGTTTAAATTTTGAAAAGGTTTTATTATAGATGATAAAGAGAAATGTGGCAGATGTTGATGTATAAATAGAGTAAGTTTACTAAATGCTGTAAAAGTTTTTATGGGGATAGTGAGTTCAGGTTGGGTTTGTATAAAGAGGGGGAGTTTACTTTAGAGTAAAAGTGGGCCTTGGAAAAGGGAGCTGATGTCCCCAAGTTTTTAAATATGTTTTTATGAGTTGCAAGAGAATGAATGCTTAAGTTTTTGGAAAAGTGGGTGGATTAATAAAAAGTAACACAATGCGAGTTGTTACAGTTGTTTTGCTCTGACACGTGTTTTTGGGAGATTCTGGAGAATTACAGAGGTTGATGAACAACGGGAAAGGGGTATTAAAAAAGGAAATTAAGAGTGAACACAGGGAAAAAGCAAGTGATGAGATAACAAAAAATTTAGGGAATGAAAATTTGGGTATCAACGGAGGGAGGATATGGAGGAAGGTGTATTCAGACATTTGGAGTGACTGGTCACAGATGGGTCTATGAAAAATAGGCGAAAAAAAAGAATGACGGGGAAAAAGACGAGTGGAGCACTGAAGAGTCTGGAGACAAAAAACATTATCCTGGAAGCAAAAAGGAGAAAGTTTAGAGTATAAAGTAAACCCAAAACTCTTACATGGGGGTGAACATTTGGGGATTACCCGGGGATTACCTGGAGAGAGTTCCCGGGGTCAACGCCCCCCGGGCCCGGGCGTGACCGCCTCCTTAGTCATGCCCAGATGCACCCACACCACGACTGACACCCAGGTACCCATTTTACTGATGGGGAACATAGCAAAAGGGTTAAAAAACCGTCCAATGTTTCTACTCTGGCTGGAATCGAACCCGGGGCCCCCACCGGTGAAAACGAAGCGTTTTTCCCCCCCAGGGACCAAGTGGGGAATGTTCAACAAAAAGGCTGGAACAATGGAGATGTCATGTCTAAGGGCAAGTGTGTGTGAATATAATGAAAAACCACTGAAATTAGGGGTGCAGGGTTTTTCCCAAAAATTAAACCAGACAGCAGAGGAAGGGTTGTTGAGGTGGTTTGGACATTTAGAAAGGAAGGAACAAAACAAAATGACTTAAGAGGGCATATAAATCTGTGGTAAAAGGAAGTCGGGGAAAGGGTCATCCTAGGAAAGGATGGAGGGAGGGAGGGGGTAAAGGAGGTTTGGTGTGCTATGGGCTTTGATTTCCAGCATGCGTGCCTGATCGTGTTAGACAGGAGCAATTGGAGACAAACAGGTTTTATAAAGGGATTCACGGAAACCAGTTAGACAGACTTGAGTCCTGGAGGAGGGAAGTATAGTGCCTGCACTCTGAAGGAGGGCTCTTGATATGTTGCAGATTTTTAACTGTGGTGTAAGCACACCTCTGGCAAGACAGTGATGGAATGAATGATGATGAAAGTGTTTCTTTTTTTTCTGGTTACCCTAGTCTCAAACTGGATTGGGGGTCTTCATCCTCAAAGAAGAGAATATATATACCCGAGGGAAAACTCAGGATTCTTCTCCGAGTGTTTTGAGCATTTTCTTCTACCACTCACTATATGCTATACACAAGTTTCAGGTCATTCAGAGGTAAAGAATTGCCACATATTAAAAACAGTATTTTTTTTTTTTTTGTAAATTCTCAATTATGCGCATTATAGAATGGAGATGCATATATTTAGTGCCTAGGTAAAAGACCTTATTGTTTGTAACTTAATGCTACCCAACCTAACTAACAACGTTAAAACTGGTCTAGGGAACGTTAAGCTAGGTCGATTTGCATTATAAAATCAACTTATCAAAATGCTTCTTTCTTATCATCTAAAATACATACAACTGTTTCCATTACAAAATATAATAAAAAAGAATTTACATAATATATATTATTATTTTGCCTATCATCCTCCAAATAATTTGCACAGAAAATAATTATTTTTCCAAAGAACATTCAGCATGGATGTTATGTACAATATAAAACATTTGTCAGAGGAAAACAAAAATTATGACCTTAGTTTTAATCCTAGCTTATAACTAAGAACAATTGTTTTTTTTTTGTCCCCTCAAGGAAGGTTCCTTGATGTTGGTGAGGGGCTCTTGATTTAGGGAATTGGATCTGTGCTCCAGTTCCCCGAATTAAGCCTGAATACCTTCCACATCCCCCCCCCCCAGGCGCTGTATAATCCTCCGGGTTTAGCGCTTCCCCTTGATTATAATAATAATAGAATTATACATTGCTAAGTTACTATTGTAACTAATGTATCTTCTTGGGAAATTAAGTTTTCATTATTTCAAGGGAACACTAAATCCTAAGGGGCTTTACAGAACCCCTAAGGATTTAGTGTTAAACATGGGGTAGATCCAATTCCTCGGATCAAGAGGCAATATCTACCCCTTGAAGTTAAAAAAAAAACAATCATTGCATCAAGTTGTATGAGCTAAGACTGAATTATTTTAAAATAAAGTGAAAATGGCGTTAGTTATTATCAGCTTAAAATATATTATTATTGATAAGTTATGTAGTTATTAGTCTGATCTCTACCATCAACCTGAACCCCAGTACCAGCTCATGCATATTAAAGAGAGTAACATATAAGAAGGCACCTCACCTAGCTCAATGCTTCTTTTAAAGTTTTGAGACAACACCTCGAGTTATTATTCAAGAACAACAACAACTTGGTTGAGTAACTGAAGATGTGTATAGTGAGTTATGGCGGCCAGGGAAGCCAGCACATACACTCCAGCACACACCACCACCTGATGTACAAGCCACACCAAGCTCCTCACTCACACCAAACTCACTACAAAAGCTAAAAATTGATGGTAAATTTTTAGTGTGAGTGAGAGGTGAGTCGCCACAAGTTGCGCGCCAAATGTGGCTTCTTGTGCCTCCAGCCTCATCCAACACTGTTACTACTTATATATATCTTTATAACACTACCAAACTACATCATAACTTTAAGTAACACTTCAAATTCACCTAATTGATGTTTAATTTAACCTGCAGACATACAAAATACTGATTATATAAGGTAAATTAGCGATAATTTAAGTGTGTGTAAGGAGCATTAAAGTGTAGAAGAGTGTTGTATGTTGGGACACACATCTCACCACTACATTAATTAATGATCTTCACATAACCATCACCTTCATTACATTACAATAACAAATACAAATAATTTACCTAAAGTTCGTGGCTTGCAATATTACTGGCTAAATATTCACACATTCACAAAATCTTGCTTCTGGTGAGAAAACTGATAAATGGAAAATGGCGAATATTCTACCATCTTATAAGGGGCTGCATGAAGTAACCTTTATATTATTATATATATTATTCATGACGAGGGAGTTTGTGATGATTTGTATGATGCTATGATGATAATGTAGCAAGAGACATACTCATCCAGTTACTAATGACACACTAAAGTGTTCAACTAGACTAAATAACTCCAGCATCCAGTGTTCACTATATCACCATGGTAGTTATCATCCAGTGTTCACTATATCACCATGGTTATCATCCAGTGTTCACTATATCACCATGGTTGTTATCATCCAGTGTTCACTATATCACCATGGTTGTTATCATCCAGTGTTCACTATATCACTATGGCTGTTATCCAGTGTTCACTATATCACCATGGTTATCATCCAGTGTTCACTATATCACCATGGTTATCATCCAGTGTTCACTATATCACCATGGTTATCATCCAGTGGTCACTATATCACTATGGCTGTTATCCAGTGTTCACTATATCACCATGGTTATCATCCAGTGTTCACTATAACACCATGGTTATCATCCAGTGTTCACTATATCACCATGGTTATCATCCAGTGTTCACTATATCACCATGGTTATCATCCAGTGTTCACTATATCACCATGGTTATCATCCAGTGTTCACTATATCACCATGGTTATCATCCAGTGTTCACTCTATCACCATGGTTATCATCCAGTGTTCATTATATCACCATGGTTATCATCCAGTGTTCACTATCACCATGGTTGTTATCATCCAGTGTTTACTATATCACCATGGTTATCATCATCCAGTGTTCACTATATCACCATCGTTATCATCCAGTGTTCACTATATCACCATGGCTGTTATCATCCAGTGTTCACTATATCACCATGGTTGTTATCATCCAGTGTTTACTATATCACCATGGTTGTTATCATCCAGTGTTCACTATATCACTATGGCTGTTATCCAGTGTTCACTATATCACCATGGTTATCATCCAGTGTTCACTATATCACCATGGTTATCATCCAGTGTTCACTATATCACCATGGTTATCATCCAGTGTTCACTATATCACTATGGCTGTTATCCAGTGTTCACTATATCACCATGGTTATCATCCAGTGTTCACTATAACACCATGGTTATCATCCAGTGTTCACTATATCACCACGGTTATCATCCAATGTTCACTATATCACCATGGTAGTTATCATCCAGTGTTCACTATATCACCATGGCTGTTATCATCCAGAGTTCACTATATCACCATGGTAGTTATCCAGTGTTCACTATATCACCATAGTTGTTATCATCCAGTGTTCACTATATCACCGTGACTGTTATCATCCAGTGTTCACTGTATCACCATGGCTGTTATCATCCAGAGTTCACTATATCACCATGGTAGTTATTATCCAGTGTTCACTATATCACCATGGCTGTTATCATCCAGAGTTCACTATATCACCATGGTTGTTATCATCCAGTGTTCACTATATCACCATGGCTGTTATCATCCAGTGTTCACTGTGCACATACTATGCACTTGGTATCTGCAGGCATGGGAAATCTGGAAAAACAGATGGGACGTGCAACTTTGACCACCCTAGAAAATGCCGTGCCCATATGACAACAGGAAAATGCAAACTCCCTTCCTGTAAGCTTTTTCACCCTGAAATGTCCCCCTCTTCAGCACAGGAAAGACTCTGCTATAACTTAAATTGCCAGGCACACCATCTAAAGGGGACAAAAAGATACAAAACATCCAGGCCATGGGAAAACCTGGGTAGCCACAGCCACTCAAGAGGGAGAGGTTTTTTAGTGCCATGAAGGAAAAAAAACTGGCAGGAAATGGCGGAAATCGTACGCCAAATCCAGTCATTTCTGGAGTGGAACCACAGTCGATGGCCTCCACTCCAAACCAACAGATACAGATACTATTGCCGGAAAAAAAAGTCCCCCACCAGTACCACCAATCCGATGGCATTCTTCTTTGCAAATATACAGGGTCTAAAGCCAGCAATGAACAACAAAATACCTTTCATCCGTGGACTGCTTCCAGAGGCAAATGCAATGTTCGAGGCTTTCATAGAGACCCACAAAAAGGATCACTTGGACAACGAAATATGGACACCAGGTTACAACCTATACAGATGTGACAGAGTGAACAAGCAAAGGGGGGGGGGAGTTGGCCTGTATATCGCAGAGTCACTTGTTTGCACAGAACTGCTTAATGCCTCAAATGATGTAGTGGAAGTTTTAGCAGTAAAGATCGAGAACCAAAACCTAGTCATTGTGGTAGTCTACAAGCCTCCGGATGCAACGTCCCAGCAATTCCAAGAACAGCTGTCAAAAATTGACCACTGTCTGGAAAATCTGCCAGCTCCTGCCCCCAACATCTTGCTCCTGGGGGATTTCAACCTAAGGCACCTAAAATGGAGGAATATAGCAAATAATGTTATTGCAGTGATAACACCAGGAGGCAGCTCTGATGAGAACTCACACACACACGAGCTTTTAAATCTCTGCACAAAATTCAACTTAAACCAGCAAATAATAGAGCCTACTAGACTTGAGAATACACTAGACCTCATCTTCACTAACAATGATGATCTGATAAGAAATGTCACCATATAAAAAACAATATACTCAGATCACAACATAATCGAGGTTCAGACATGTATGCGAGGAGCCCCAGACCGACAAAATGAGATTAGTCACGAGGGAGCATTCACCAAATTCAACTTCAATAACAAGAACATAAAGTGGGACCAAGTAAAACAAGTCCTAAACGATATAAGCTGGGAAGATAGACTAAGCAACACAGACCCCCAACTTATGCCTAGAACAGATTAACTCGGTGGCACTCCATGTATGCTCAAGGCTTATTCCTTTAAGAAAAAGGAGGAGTAGATGAAAATAGAAAGAGACAGGCTCTCCCTTTACAGGCGACGGAAAAGAATAACAGAGCGGCTAAAAGAGGCCAATATATCTGCAATGCGTAGGGAGTCACTGGTCAGAGAAATAGCAAACATCGAACTTAAGCTAAAGGAATCTTATAGGAGTCAGGAATCGCGGGAAGAACTAAAAGCCATAAATGAAATCGAAATAAGCCCAAAGTATTTCTTTTCTTATGCCAAATCAAAGTCGAGAACAACATCCAGTATTGGGTCCCTACTTAAACAAGATGGGTCCTACACAGATGACAGCAAGGTAATGAGTGAGCTACTCAAGTCCCAATATGACTCAGTTTTTAGCAAGCCGCAAACCAGACTGAGAGTCGAAGATCAAAATTAATTTTTTATGAGAGAGTCACAGAATTTGGTTAACACAAGCCTATCTGATATTATCCTGACACCAAATGACTTCGAACAGGCGATAAATGACATGCCCATGCACTCTGCCCCAGGGCCAGACTCATGGAACTCCGTGTTCATCAAAAACTGCAAGAAGCCCCTATCACGAGCTTTTACCATCCTATGGAGAGGGAGCATGGACACGGGGGTCGTCCCACAGTTACTAAAACCAACAGACATAGCCCCACTCCACAAAGGGGGCAGTAAAGCAATAGCAAAGAACAACAGACCGATAGCACTAACATCCCACATCATAAAAATCTTTACCTGGAGTTTACATGGAGAAAGGGTCCTAAGAAGCAAGATCGCCACCCGTCTAGACACCCATCAATTACACAACCCAGGGCAACATGGGTTTAGAGCAGGTCGCTCCTGTCTGTCTCAACTACTGGATCACTACGACAAGGTCCTAGATGCACTAGAAGACAAAAAGAATGCAGATGTAATATATACAGACTTTGCGAAAGCTTTCGACAAGTGTGACCATGGTGTAATAACGCACAAAATGCGTGCTAAAGGAATAACAGGAAAAGTTGGTAGATGGATCTATAATTTCCTGACAAACAGAACACAAAGAGTAGTAGTCAACAGAGTAGTCTGAGGCAGCTACGGTGAAAAGCTCTGTTCCACAAGGAACAGTACTCGCTCCCATCTTGTTTCTCATCCTCATATCTGACATAGACAAGGATATCAGCCACAGCACCATGTCTTCCTTTGCAGATGACACCCGAATCTGCTTGACAGTGTCTTCCATTGCAGACACTGCAAGGCTCTAGGCGGACATCAACCAAATCTTTCAATGGGCTGCAGAAAACAATGTGAAGTTCAACGGTGAGAAATTTCAATTACTCCGATATGGTAAACATGAGGAAATTAAAACTTCATCAGAGTACAAAACAAATTCCTTTCACAAAATAGAGCGAAAAACCAACGTCAAAGACCTGGGAGTGATCATGTCGGAGGATCTCACCTTCAAGGACCATAACATTGTATCAATCGCATCTGCTAGAAAAATGACGGGATGGATAATGAGAACCTTCAAAACTAGGGAGGCCAAGCCCATGATGACACTCTTCAGGTCACTTGTTCTATCTAGGCTGGAATATTGCTGCACACTAACAGCACCTTTCAAGGCAGGTGAAATTGCTGACCTAGAAAATGTACAGAGAACCTTCACGGCGCGCATAACGGAGATAAAACACCTCAATTACTGGGAGCGCTTGAGGTTCCTAAACCTGTATTCCCTGGAACGCAGGCGGGAGAGATACATGATTATATATGCCTGGAAAATCCTAGAGGGACT